ACTAAAATTCAAGAAAATCAAAACAGTTGAAGTGGAGAATGGTGATGAATACATAGTTTGAGAGAAAAAGACTAAGGGGAAAATAAACATTGATTTCTCGATCATATCCATCATCACACTTCAATTGTGAACTGCTCATTCATAAACCACACAGAAAGTGCATGAGACAATGAAAATTGCAATGGAATTACATGGCTCACTAAAGAAATATCTAACAAGAACATTTAGCTGTTAAAACTTTCTAATATCACATTTAAAAGATCATATGCATACTTTCTAGTTCTTCATTGTTTCACAAACATTATTAAGCATTGACCTGCTAACATCTTGCAACTCTCCTCTCATGCCACCTAATGCAATGCTTATTAGTCAGGTTCTAATTCTTGCTTTGACATGAAGGGCTCTCTGATGTTAGGACTTCTTTGGCTTTCCATGCTGAGGTTAAACCTAGTAACTTAAATGTTGAAATATAATCATACATCATCTCTTTTGCTTTAAAACAAGGCCACACAGGGTGCACTCATCTAGTTGATCCCAATTTCAGCCTACCCCAAAGCATAAGGGGACATCAAGATTACAAGAGAACCACGTAACTGCACTTTAAAGTTTAAGCATGAAACTTCATGAGTGGACGATTGGCTGTTTGTTGATAATACACAAACTGATTCAATTTCATAATCACCAGCATTGAATCAAATTTCAACACCGGCTTTCTCATTGCCAGGTCATAGTTGAATGTCCCTTTTCATGTCTACTTTCTTGCTCTTTTTCTCTAAGTGGTAGATTAGTTTGGGTCTAAGGTATCAGATTGGGAGAAAGTCTCCTTTTTAGCAAAAATTTGGAAATAGATAGGTACCTACTTGGATTTTAGAAGCCTAGCCTTCCACTCATACCCTGCTTTCCATTGGTTCATGGAGTAATGGAAGAGCTATTGCCCTAAGATGATAAGATGCATATTAACTCAAAAATGAAAACTGCTAAAATAGCTATTCTTTTCCAAATCAAATTGAAAGCCTCAAAATTTCTTCTATATGTAGCCACCAGCATAATAGCAAAGGAGCATCAAAGGAGGCAACAATTATGCAAGAAAAAGGAGGGCAGCAACAGCAGAGACATTCTAATCATAATTCTTAAACCCTTAAGATTGATCACGACATATCAACACATCAAAGAAATAATACACATTGAATGTAAACCAAATTTTCACAGAAACAACCATAACAAAGTTTCTTCAATAAATTAGAGCAACAATCTATGGGCCAAAGATATAAAAATGTCAAATTACATCCACAAATGAATCTTTAACAACGAATGTACAGTAACACGTATAGATCAACCAAAAGGACTTAATCGTCAAAAACTAAAACGCCATCACCAAAATTAGAACAAACCAGAAAAAATAAATAAAAATAAAAGAACAAAAATCCAACACCTACAAATTTAAATAAAAAAATAGAAACCCGATAAAAGAAACTAATGGCACAAAACCAAAGTATTAAAAAAAGAAATCAACCAAGGCAAATTAAGCGCACTTAAGAAAAGAAATCCGAACCGAACTCTCTTTTCAAGCATATAGCAAAAATCCCTTCTCACAGACAACCAAAAGAAGGCCTCCACCTCACAACCACAAATTGTAAAACTAACCCACGAAAAGTCGAGAAAATCAAAGAAAGAAAATTAGAGAAGAGAGAGAAAAATAGGCCAATAAATGGAGTCAAAGATTCATTACAAATTAACACAATGTGTATAGCAAAAACATATGTTTATCAGATTTTATTCTAAACCTGCAAAACTCTTTGAGTTTAGCAAACAGAACCAAAAGCCCAAACCGATAGGAAACCAAGAAAAGTAAGCCACTCTACAGCTCCAGAAAAGAAAAACAGAATATCAAAAGAAAAGAAAGCAACAAAAAATCCATGAAAGCTGACCTTACTCTGCCATCCAAGCTCCCAGACCTTCAATGGCAGCCCGGAGAACAGAGTAGGGTTTTCGTACAGACGAACATGCGAGTGGAGCAGAGAGCAAGCGAGAGTGAGCAAAGGGAAACACAGAGAAGGACTGTCCTTAAAATAAGTGGAGCGTCCTGCGAGAGCGGGACGTCCTACAGTTCAAACTTCTAAAATGAAAATTAAAATAAAATAGATATAAAAATAAAATAAAAAACAGGAACAGTTGAAAATTTTCCAGCAAAAATTTGGATTAATTTACAACAACGGCCCTGAGTCCCTGACATTCGAACCAATTGACTATTGCAGTTGATGACATTTATAATCCAAAATTAGCCCTCGTTTTTTTCCTTAATTACCTTTCACATGGCTTCGTAAAACTCGGAATTAGGGTATTTTAGTCATCGTGCATCTGGCGAAATTACGAGTGTAGCCCCGGTTTGAAATTTTTGAAATGATTTCGGGCATTTGGATAAATGCATGTGATCGAACAACTTTACGCCACATGCTTCTGTCTTAAGCAATAAATAACTTTTTTCTGTTTTTTGAGTTTTATTTGAAAAATAAAACAAAATAAAATCCATATAATTTCAATTGGTGAATGATGACCAGATTTTTGTGGTCGAGAAGGCCGAAATGATGGAGTAAATGTGACCTGCAAATTTGGGAGCAGGAGATTGAGCCGTAGGTAATAGCTTAGATCTGCTCCCAACAAACGCTACCAATATGTCCCAACCGTCATCGCACTCGTGCATTGCTAACATGTGATGTTCTCATGAATGACAAGTGAGTAGGTGTTTGGTATTGCACCATTTTTCTTATAAAAATGGTGTTGGGCATGTGTGAGTTGTAATTTTTTTTTTTTTTGTTTGGAAGTAGTTTGGGAAAACATCACTAGTTTTGTTTGGTATCAGTGTTATATAACTGTTTTCAGCATTGGTCATATTATTCAATGTTTATAATGATGCCACATTGATACTACATCATTGCACTTTGGCAGCAACAAAAATGTTTTATGATAAAATATCAAATTTGGTGTTGCTTAAGCGTCTATTTGGCATTGATGCCGTTGCTCCATAAAATGGTGATACATCGGCACCACATTGGAAAAAACGATATTTCAGGAAAAATGCCCGTTTGTTTGGAACCATTTTTTCATTAAAAAAAAAATGTGCTCCAAGTCACGCCTTAAAAATCAAGAAGGCATGGTTTGGAGCAACGCCAATTTTGGAGTTTTCTCATATTATAGCCCGTTGCTACCAATGAGGACGTGATGTAGACTTCCTATAATGGGTATCAGTGCTAAAAACATACATGGAGCACTGGTACCAAACAAAAAGTGTTGTTGTTGCTCCAGGAAACATCCTACCCGGCAACAACATTTCCAAATAAAAAAAAAACATCATTTTTCTCAAAAAAAACAGTGCATCCAACCCACACATCAGCAATCTGTAGCATCAATGCCAAATATATACTAAGACCACACTTTCTCAATTTCCAAAGTGTGGCTGAAGCAACGTTTTTTTCTTTTTTCCTAGAAAAAACAATACCAAGTAAGAGACCGTTTCTAAAGCACCACTTTTTATAATGTGGCACTGCTTTCTCGGAAAACAACATCGATGCCAAACAAGTATGAGATGTTCCCCATCCCTAGAGGTACTCACATTTCGATTAACCAAACCGTGGGGGGGTTTGAACCTAATCGACTTTATCATTTTTTTTTATAATATGAGTTAAAGTCGAATCGATGTAACCGGTTACCGTAGTTCTTTTTTTGTTTGCACTCAAAATTAAGAAAAAAAGGGGAAAAGTACCTAAACAAGCATGGCAAAGGGGCGAGCTGATGAGGGTAAAGTGGTGGCCGATGATTTGTCAATGCCGGATTGGTTGGTGGTTTTTTCGTCTGAAGTGAAAGCCTGAGAGGTGGTAAAGCCGCGGATATGAGAGATGAGAGAGACAGAGACATAGCCTGGGAGGTGGCAGCCCTAGTGGAGTTGAGGCAGCAACCGGCGTCTTGGTTGGTTGTTGTAGCTAGGGCTGGCTAAGCTGGCTTGGTGCTTGCCGGCGAGGCGGCAACTAACATCTTGGTTGGTTGTTGTAGCTAGGGCTGGCTAAGCTAGCTTGGTGCTTGCTGGCGAGCCATCTACCAGTGTTGTTGCATGCTTGTCTGCTTAATGGTTGGAGAGACAGAGACGGAGATAATAGGCAACAAATAGAGAAAGAGACACGGGGAAGCACCAAAGCAAGGGGAAAACTAACCACTGGGTGGGAGGTCGTTGGTCGAAGGACAATTGGTGCCAGAGAAAAAACTGGGGATTAGGGAAGACGAAGAGACAAGAGATAATGAGAGAGTGAGGAAGCCAAGGGTTAGCCTATTAGGTTTACTAGTTTAGGTTTTGAAGAAGGAGAAACTAGGAAAGGAGAAAAGGCAGACAGGCGTGCACCAAATTTATTCGATTTTAAAAAATAAAAATATAATATACATATATATACCAGTTGATTCAGTTAACCATCGGTTTTTCGCCAAGGTTAACCGAAATTTTTGGTTTTTTAAGGATATCGAACCGAACAGTTCGATTAATTGTTTGTTCGATTCAATTTCTGTCGGTTTTTTTTTTTTTTTCAGTCCGGTTTTCCGATTTTTTGCTCACCCCTACATCCCACGTGACTACAGTGACGAATTGGGAGAGTATTGAGAACAGATCCTTACCTACGGTAAAATACCAAATTCAGTCAGTGCAGAACCGGTTCCAACAGCCATTATAGCATTTGAAATATCTCCATAAAGCATAGAAATACGAGATATTCCCGATGCAAGGCCGTTTGAACACGGGGCTTGCACTGACCGAAGTCGATCTACTACGGTGTCGGTAGGGTAGAAATGGGCAGGTGGCTTTCAATGCCGTGTTTAGGGCATTTGGGCCAGGCATTCTATACGCAAGTAGTTGCTAGTAGGGCCCATGGGAGCTAGCTTGAAATCTGATCAATCAAATTATAATGTGATCGAACGGTCCTGAAACTGAGGTCTAGCGTTTCTTCCGAAACTCAAGAGTTCCTACAGTCTTCGTTGGCAGATAAATAAAAGATATTGGGTTTTGAAATTGGGAGAAATTTTTAAAGGGGTTCACCGTTCAGTAGTTGACGCGCCCATGAGTTTATTGAAGTGGAAGTAGGGCCCATTTACTGGTTTTGTGATTGGGATCTTAATCTGACCTGTCATCTCGCTTCTGGTACAGCATTACCTTTTTTGGGTTTATCGAGACTCCCGCTCCTTGGTCCCCCCTAATATGAATCGAGAATGTGATATCCAATTTGTTTTGAATGATATTTATTATTAAGGGCAATTTTTTAAAGGGAAAAATCCACTCTATTGGCCTAATGCCATTAACTTTAAAATGCAATAATTATTTTTAAAAACGTGTTAATTCAATATTTATCGTTAATCAGTCTTCAAGTGACAATTGAAAAAGATATAAATATCTTTTGAGTGTCATTTAATTTTCTTGATCAACCATCCAAATGTTGATAAAAAATTAAGTTCCAAATTTCTGCCTTTTCTATTCAAGAAAGTTGGAGTTTATTAATTTTTTGTCAACCTTTGGATGGTTGATAAAGAAAAATAGATGATACTTAAAAGGGCATTTGTATCTTTTTAAAATGCCACTTAATGGCTGATTAACAGTTGATTAACGACAGATATAGGATTGACATGCTTTGAAAGTTCGGATACTAAATTGTCATATTTTAAAGTTCAATAACCAAAGTGGAACTAAACCCAAAGTAAAAGGTAATAATCAAGAACTTTCCCTTTTTTAAACTATTCCTAATATTTAGAAAATTGACTAATTCTACCCTTACTATTTTCTCATTGTCTTAGATTGGGTTTGGTTTGAAGGAAAAAATAGCCTTAAATTTGTATGGGTTTCCCTACATTTCCCTTCCGTTTTCCTTCAAACCAAACATACCCTTAAAATACCCTTGCTATATCTAACAATTGTCACAGAGCTCCGATCCTATTAATTCTCTCACATGCCGTTTAGGCATGACTTCAAGTATTTGATTTAATGTTAAATTATACGAAGTAGCCCTACTGTTTTTGACAATCGTTGGTGACTTTCCTACAAACTAAAAAAATAGAGACCAAGCGGAGGGGAGAAACGCACGGATTAGATTTGTCATCGTCCTCTGCACTACCTATTCTTTGTTATATTGTCATGACCAAGGTTTTTAAAACTAAATCAAACAATGAATCAGTCAGGAGTCTGATTCTCGGGTGGAACGGTCTGATTGTTTGAACCAAATAGATGGACTGTTCTAACAAAAAGTAAAAAGAAATTAAAAAAAAAAACAACCAAAACCATTGTATAGTTGGAATGGTTCAACCGCCCGAGTCAGTAATTTGTTGATCAAGTCAATGATTTTTTGCAAAATAACGATTCTGCGGTAAAATGAAACCGGTCACCGGTTCCTAATTTTTTCGGCCCGGCCGGACAGTCCAGTCCGGTTTTGAAAACCATGGTCGCGGCATCCAAAGAGTGCTTCTTGTATTTTTCTTCTTCTTCTTCTCTCTCTCTCCTGTCTGCATTCTTTCTTTCTCAGGTGCGGAATCAAAGAAACGAAGCAAGACAAATCTTTGTCGAGGGCTCTGTTCAAGTGGTTGAAACTCACGAGACCACCCTCCTTCTTCGACCTCTCAGACATCCTGTAAGGTGTAAGAGCCGAATCACGATCGAAGAGCAGCATATCCCCTTAGTAGATATTGATGACCAAATATTCAAATATGGCTCTTGGGCCAATCGTAGAGAGGTTGTCATCAAGATCAACAATAATGGTAACGGGAAACAAACTAACTCTCGAAATAACGACAACAGAAATATTCAACAGGTGGTGGAGGCCAATGTCATCAGTAAGATATGGCGGGAATCCAGATATGGTTCTGGAATGATGGAAGCATGGTGGCCGAGAACATGGGCAATGTTAGCTTACGTGCATCAGGCATCGGCGCTGATAGCTTTTTTCTTTTAGAAACAACTGCAAAGGGTCGGCGATCCACCGTCAAAGCTGATCAAGTAGACAAAAGCAATCGGGAGAGATGTTATTGGATATGGACTTGGAGATGGGCGAGTGAACAGGAGGCTTCGTTTAGGGAACACAAGGTGTCCTTCCA